ATATATATATATATATATATATATATATATATATATATATATATATATATATATATAACACACACACACACACACACACATACATACGCATATATATATACACACCCGCATACGCACGCACGCACACGCACATACACACATATACACACTACGCCGTACGCCTGCCGCCGCTGCCGCACATACTGCCTAGCGCACACACACACACACACACACACACACACACACACACACACACACACACACACACACACACACACACACACACACAGTGACTCTCGTTTAACGCGCCTCGGTTAACGAAATTTAGGTTAGACTGCCTTCCATAAGGATCTTCAATTCGGTTATGAACAAAAATTCGGTTAACGAATTTCTTCTGAACCGACCTCAACATGTTTTCGTCACTGGGCGGGCAACCAGCTTTAGTATCAGTCCGTAATACATTAATCGGTTCTGGGTTTAAATTCCTAACTATTTTGTAAATATCAAGAAGTTTACACTATTCAATAATTTAAAATTTAATATTCAATTTTTTTAGTCATTTAACAATTATTGAACATAATTGAAGGTAAAGTGACTAGTTTAAGCACAGCATCCAGCCTCTTAACACAGCAAACGTTAGTCTCTCTGTTTTCACTGGAGTAGCGTCCTTTGTGAGACTCTCTTCAACTAAACGCTTTTTCTGTGTTTCCAAGCAAATTGTTTTGAAATATATTTTACATATTGACAATATAATGCAGTACAGTGTTGATTTAAAGAAAATAATCTTGAAATACACCAAGAGAACTAAAATTTTATGGGGAAATGGTGCCATGGGGTGACTTCTCTTCCACCCCAATGCCTTCTCTTCTTCCTTCTCCTCCACCCCCATTCTAATTCCATCATCATCATCATCATCCAGGAGCCTTCTACATACACACCTCAAAGTAAGTGAACTTTTCTACCATTTTTGTTGAATTTAGGAAATTTTTGGTGAGCTGGAACCAATACCCAAAAACCCATTGACAATGGTTTCGGTTAACGAACTTTTCGGTTAATGAACAACCTGGTGGAATGGATTGTGTTACGTTAACCGAGGTCACTGTATAACCATAAATAAATAAAAAAGAAAAAAAGACCAGAGTGAGAAACAATATGTGTATGTTGTGTTGTCAAAGTAAGAAAACAATTGAGATCCCGCAATTGTGTGTAAATGAGACAGAAAGTCAGATCAGCAACCTGGGACTTGGTCACAATTTTTGGGATGCCATATGGCAGCAGGGTCTACCATTAGACAACACATTATGCTTCAATATCTTCCCAGGTGGTAGTACCTCCCGTTTGGTAATTGCCTACTACCTCCTCGTTTGTTATTAAGTTAAGTTCAGTATAATTTGTATGTTTATTTGACACACACACACACACACACACATAATAATGGTTGTCCCTCGTGTAACGAGGATGGCCGGCAGGGCCACCCAGGCGTGAATTTGTTTAAGGTGTAGAAACTGTCTTTAACAGAACAACCACACGCTGAGTTAACGAGTTGAATGACCAAGTATCAAGGAATAGTCCGAGAATGAATGAAAGAACGAACAAACGAACACACACACAGGCTGTCTCAAAATAAAGTGTACACTGCCTCACAGATTGTTGTGGCAATCATGTGAAAACCTTCTTTATCAACTTAGTCCTCAACTTGGCGCTGTGTCTGCTCCTGCAATATTCTTGGATACTTCGCTCATCAGCAAGTGAGGACAATGTTGTTGTACTGCAAGCATTCACATGATGGCCATGAAAGTCAGTAAAGCAGAGTGCATATATTACCAAGTTGCCCTTTATATGATGTGTATATGCTCTTTCATCCCATGTAGTAAGAATAGAGAAATATCTTGATAGAGATATATGGTATAGAAAGTTCCTTTGTCACCACTTTAAACAGAGGTGCCTGGTCTTAGTATGTGTAAATAGAACACTTGTGAAGAATTAAAGCCATTTTTTTTCTAATTCTCTTCAGTATGACGTAAGCGCAGCTCAGAGACTGTCCCGGCAACTTCCGCCGGTCAGTAGCATTGTGGGTAACGTGGACGGGGACGGACTGGAGGCATCTGTGGGTCACCGGTACTTCAAGAAAGTCCAACAGGCGCGAGAAGGTTCTCGTCGGCATCGCCCAAGTCTGCCACGTGAGTCCACTCCCTCTGTCACTTTTTATGTTTATCCTTTTCATATTGTTGTCTGTCAGTCCTTATTGACTATAGTTTTCTTACACAACTTAAAGAATAAACATACAGTCTGTGGATATTGTTTGATGTGTTAACAGGACACCTGGAACAGATATTAAAAAGACAAGAAGAAAGAAAGAAGCGAAAGCCTCGTCTTCCCAAGAACTACAACCCCAACGTCCAGGCAGAGCCCGGTCAGCGCTGGACCAACAGCGTAAAGGTTACCGTGAAAGAAGGACTGGAGGGTGAAGGGCGTTATGGAAGGGTACACAAGGTGTATCAAGTGAAGCAGCTGACAAGTTGTAAGTGTCACTCACTTACCTCCCTACATCCTTTACCTCCCCTCAACATGGTTCTCTCCTTCTATACACCCACTTCCTCCTCATCCTTACCTCCCCTCAACATGGTTCTCTCCTTCTATCACCACTTCCTCCTCATCCTTACCTCCCTCAACATGGTTCTCTCCTTCTATACACCCACTTCCTCCCCATCCTTCACCTCCCCTCAACATGGTTCTCTCCTTCTAACCCCACTTCCTCCTCATCCTTACCTCCCTCAACATGTTCTCTCCTTCTATACACCCTTCCTCCTCATCCTTACTCCCTCAACATGGTTTCTCTCCTTCTATACACCCACTTCCTCCTCATCCTTACCTCCCTCAACATGGTTCTCTCCTTATACACCACTTCCTCCCTATCCTTACCTCCCTCAACATGGTTCTCTCCTTCTATACACCCACTTCCTCCCTATCTTACCTCCCCTCAACATGGTTTCTCCTTCACCCTTCCTCCCTATCCTTACCTCCCCTCAACATGGTTCTCTCCTTCTATACACCACTTCCTCCCTATCCTTACCTCCCTCAACATGGTTCTCTCCTTCTATACACCCTTCCTCCTCATCCTTACCTCCCTCAACATGGTTTCTCTCCTTCTATACACCCACTTCCTCCTCATCCTTACCTCCCTCAACAGTTTCTCTCCTTCTATACACCCACTTCCTCCTCATCCTTACCTCCCCTCAACATGGTTCTCCTTCTATACACCCCTTCCTCCCTCTTCCTTACCTCCCTCAACATGGTTCTCCTTCCACCCACTTCCTCCCCTTCCTTACCTCCCTCAACATGGTTCTCTCCTTCATACACCCACTTCCTCCTCATCCTTACCTCCCTCAACATGGTTCTCTCCTTCTACTACCCCACTTCCTCCCTATCCTTACCTCCCTCAACATGGTTTTTCTCTCCTTCATACACCCACTTCTCCTCATCTTACCTCCCCTCAACATGGTTCTCTCCTTCTATACACCCCACTTCCTCCCTATCCTTACCTCCCCTCCAACATGGTTCTCTCCTTCTATACACCACTTCCTCCCTACTCCTTACCTCCCTCTAACATGGTTCTCTCCTTCTATACACCACTTCCTCCTATCTTACCTCCCCTCAACATGGTTCTCTCCTTCACTACACCCACTTCTCCATCTCCCTCCCTCAACATAGTTTCTCTCCTTCATACCCACTTCCTCCTCCCATCCTTACCTCCCCTCCTTGCCCAGTTTCTCCCTTCTATACACCACTTCCTCCTCATCCTTGCCTCCCTCAACATGGTTCTCTCCTTCTATACACCCACTTCCTCCTCATCCTTACCTCCCCTCAACATAGTTTTCTCCTTCTATACACCCACTTCCTCCTCATCCTTACCTCCCCTCAACATAGTTCTCTCCTTCTACCACCCCTTCCTCCCTATCCTTACCTCCCTCAACATGGTTCTCTCCTTCTATACACCCACTTCCTCCTCATCCTTACCTCCCTCAACATGGTTCTCTCCTTCTGTACACCCACTTCCTCCCCATCCTTACCTCCCTCAACATGGTTCTCTCCTTCTATACACCCACTGTCTCCATTAACTGCCCATGCTAGATTATATTAACCTGTTCCTGTCTCCCTTCTGTATTCATTTTATTCACATCACAGTTGCTTACACTCATGGTACACACATCAATTATTTTCTTGTATGCAAATTTGATATTCAGTTTTCCAGATGGAGACAGAAGGGCTAGTTTATTGTGCATTCCCTCATATCCAGGACATATTTTTCTAAACTCATACACTAACATCTGTACAGTACAGGATATACTACTGCATACCCTTTGCTGCTACACTGGACGATGGCAAGAGTCAAGGGCACCACAAATGCTCTCATGCGTTGTCTCTAACTGCCTAACTATTTATAGAGTGAATTAGGCAGTGTTACTTTCTGTGAAGCAAGAATCATTTGAAGACTTATTTTAATGCATACAACCATTATTAACGTGGGGCTGCAGTATAAGATCATACAACTGGGCTACCCGAAAACCTGACGCGCCTGCTGTGCAACTTCATTATGGACCACAGAGCCAAAATCAAGATGCAAGAACATTGTGGGGAGTAATTCTCACTCGAGCGGCGTGCCTCAGGGCTCTTGTCTCTCACCAACCCTTTACACGGCTCACCTGCCACCCCCAATCGTCGCCAGCGAGTACGTCATGTATGCCTACGATGTAACACAGATCGTCACCTGCCCAGGAAGGTCCACGGCAAGGATGGTGCGACTCACTGCTCGGGCATTAGAGGATATCTCGGAGTATGAAAATAAATGGAAAATAAAAACAAACAAAAAACGAAATTCGAGGTCATACCCATAACCAAATTCAAGCCGGCCCCATTGATGATCGTCGACTAAGAAATTAAGTGCTCTAAACAAGGCAGGTTGCTCGGCCTCATCATCTCTTGGACGGGCATCATTCCCCACGTGAAGGACAGACTAAATAAAGCCAAAGTCGCCGCAGGCAAATTAAAGCGTTTTAAACTGATGCCTGAGAAGATACAAGTTCACCTGTACATGGCGCTGGTGAGGCCTGTGTTGGAGTACCCATCTATACCACTCGTCACACTCGGGAAGACTAGACTACAACAACTACAGAGCTTCCAAAACAAGTGTTTGAGATCAGCCAGTGGCCAAGCGCCACCCTACCAGGAGACAGTGGAAACCATCCACATAAGAAATAAAACAGAGGCCCTCAACTTCAGGTTCCATCGCCTAGGGAAGAAGGTTTGGGACAAGCTTCTGGACGACCCTCACAGTCCAGACCACCTACGCGGGGAAGACATCAATGGAGGGAGACCCCACGCCTGGTGGCCCCGGAGTCTGCCCGCACTTCAACAACCCAACCCTCGACCCATCTATGTCCGCCAGAGTGATCCACCTTAGATTAAAACTTAGATGATATAAGATCACATTTAACAAGTCACAATCTATTAATAAGATTTTAATAAAAAAAAATTTGCCGCCCTGTTGTGGGTCGATGACCTGTGCCTGGGTGGGCTATTCCTCCTAAAAAAAAAAAGAATGTATGTAATTGTAAAATCAAACTAGTCTCTGTCAACCAAAGTAACCATTGTGCAACCTCAAATTAATCCTAGGTTAGCTTAGTTAGCCAACAAACTCTGTAATATGTAAAACAAGGGGTGTCGTCCCCCTCTGTTTAACTCATTAAACTTCCTTTCCAACCTTTCCCCCCACAACTATATGTTGTGACTTCTCTATCCCTCATGTCTGGCTGTGCCTTGAGCCCCAGCATGCCTTCCATCCTTTCCCCTCCTTAACCTATAAAAAAAAACATTTCTACTCCCCAAGCATATGTCTAGTATTGTGATCAATTACTGGAGCAGTAATAATTAGTGCTATTTACCTCGTACTACTGCATCACACACACCACTACTACTACTACCACCACTTTTTTTTTTATATAGGCCTCCAGCCTCCCCCAATAGCTATACCTTTGCCACCATTTTATTACCTTAATATTAAATATCCTAATACATAAGTAGCTACCCTAGCTGTGTTGAGTTAGTTGAGCCGCAGATCTATGCGGCATTCAGTGACTGTTGCCTCATAGTCAATATCTGCAACTGTTGTTGGCTTTGGGGCCGATGCTCTCGTTCCCCTGAGGCAGAGCAAAGCCGACCTAAGGAGAGAGAAGGACAGTCGACATCTCATCCAGGCTGTAACATAACTTCTGGGCTGCTGCTTCTGTTCAGATATCACCTACGCGAGTCTGGCGTAGAAGCATCTTCCACTTGGTCCCATCCCACCAGAGGTTGTGAACACTAGAGGAGTGAAGTTGCCTTGATCAATGTTCTGAATTCTCTCCCCGTATGCCCTTATCTTGTCGTTCTTGTTCCTCCTGTGTGCAGCATCCAGAGCTAAATTCAGGTGACATGTGGCCATGGGATAAAAAATCCTGATGACGAAGAAGGCTCGCTGTCCCCGCGTCCAGAATCCTCGAGCACTGACGTCAACACGGGCTTCGTTGGATGTGTTCGAAGTTCTATGTTGGAAGATCTCACCGTCCAACGGAAGGAGAGTCGGTTCTACCCTGACATCACGGCAGATTTCCTTCAACATATTTGCTGTGAGATTCCTTACTTCATCATGCCTCATGCATATGAAGCCCCCTTTTTTGCACACCATGGCGTGATCGACGTCATAGGAAGAGCCACACATACATTGGGAGGGCAAACCTTCTTCTGGCCTACCATACCTTAGAGCATTGACATCTGTAAATTCTTGTTTATTGAGACCGAAACCATTTGCCCTTATCGGTAACGTAGTTAACCAGTTCGAGGCGCCCACCTCCTGCACTATAGCTACTTTTTTTTCAAATTCTCTGGTACAGGCATCCCCCGCGTTTCGGAAGGGTTCCGTTCCCGGAAAATTGACCTTTATCGCGAAATTCCGTAACGCGAAACCTATTTTCCCATTGACTTCCATTATAAAACTGGAGATGCGTTCCTAAGGAATTTTTTCGGCCCCAAAAAAGTAATTCAACCACTTTTATTAATGAAAATAAACATTTATAAACACATACAATACAGTACATTCAATAATTTATGATATACCTTCTTAAAACACCAATTTAGGGGTTAATATTGCATAATATTGCATTATACAGCTATGTGTATGTTTGTTTATTTGAGTGCCCCATCATAGGAGTCTGTTTTCTCTCACTTCAGCACTCCTGAGTCGTCCGTTTTCTCATAATCTTAAGAGTGCACCAGGGACTATTATTTTTTAGTAGTGACACAGAATTTGATATTGCAACTGGGGTTGCAATTGTTGAGGCAACTTAGGTATGTCTGATTACAGTTGGAATATTCAAGATCCATTGTGAGTGATGTTTAAAGCTTCAACTGTCTTTATGGTTAGTGAAACTTGTCAAGTCTGTCAGTCTGAATGGCATGTGTGAGGCCTTGTGTTTGTTAAAATTT